GTCATGGTGGCCTCTGGAAACTGGAAGAGGTAACAAAAAGATCTCCCTTTCAGCCTCCAGAGATGAACCAAGTCCTGCTGGTGCCTTGATTCTAGCCTGGGAAGACCCATTTTGGAATTCTGGTCTCGAGGACTGTAGGGGACACATCTGTTGTAAGGCACTCTGTGTGCAGTCATTTGTTACAGCATGCACATGGCTTGTCTGCTCCCCTGCTGTGGGCATGCAGGCTGTTCATTTTCTTTTCTTTTTCAAATTTTATTTACTTTAGAAAGAGTGAGCAAACAAAAAAGCATGACAGGGACAGGGGCAGAGAGAGAGAGAGAATTCTAAGCAGACTCCATAGAGCAGCACAGAGCCTGATGTGGGGCTTCATCTCAACCCTGAGAACATGACCTGAGCTGAAATTAAACGGCTGAGCCACCCAGGTGCCCCCAGCATGTGGGCTGTTTCTTGTTCTTGCCTATTATGAATAATTTTGCCGTGAAGAATCCTGGGAATTTTTTTTTTTTTGGTATGTTGTCTCTAATCTTCCAATGTTGAAACATTCTTCCAATGTTGAAACAGACTTCTCATTCATTGTTGTATAAGTTTGTTAATAGAGACTTCAACTTTAAAAGCAGTTTTAGGTTCATGGCAAAATTGGGCAGAAGGTACAGAGCTTTCCTAAATATTCTCTCCTCCCACCTGCCTTCCCTCACCATCAACATACATTTGTTACAATCAATGAACGTACACTGACACATCATTATCACCCAAAGCCAATAGTTTCCATGAAGGTCTACTCTAAGTGCTGTGCATTCCATGGGTTTGGAGAAATGTATAATGACATGTATCCTTCATTAGGGGTATCATACAGAGTCATTTCATTGCCCTAAAAGTCCTCTGTGTTCCACTTACTTATCCTTTCTTCCCCCCCAAGGCCTGGCAATCACCAGTTCTTTCATCATCTCCATAGTTTTCCTTTTCTAGGATGTCCTACAGCTGGAAACATACAGTTGTAGCCTTTCCAAATAGCCTTCTTTCACTTAGTAATATGCTGTTAAGATTCCTCTCTGTCTTTCCATGGCTCAATAGCTCATTTTTTTTTTTTTTGGCACTGAATGATACACCCTCGTTGGAATGTGCCAAGTTTGTTTATCCATTCACCTACCGAAGGACATCTCTGTTGCTTCCAAGTTTTGGCAGTTATGAACAAAGCTGCCATAAACATCTATGTACAGGTTTTGTGTGGACATAAGTTTTTAACTCTTTTGGGTAAATACCATGGAGTGTGCTTGCTGGATCATATGGTAAGAGTATGTTTAGCTTTGTAAGAAACTGTCTTCCAAAGGGGCTGTCCCATTCTGTATTCCCTTCAGCCATGGATGAGAGTCCTGTTGTTCTGCATCCTCACCAGCATTTGGTGCTGTTAGTCTTTTGGATTTGGGCCATTGTAATAGGTGTAGATAGTAGTATCTTATTGGTTTAAGTTGCAATTCCTTAATGACATTTGATGTTGAATATCTTTTCATATGTTTATTTGCCATCTTTATCTATTCTTTTATGAAGTGTCTGTTCAGGTCTTTGGCCCATTTTTAATCATATTATTTATTTTTTATTGTTAAATTTTAAGACTTCTTTGTATATTTTGGATAACAGTTCTTTATCAGATATGTATTTCACAGATATTTTCTCCCAGCCTGCGACTTGTCTTCTCATTCTCTTATCTTTCATAGAGCAGAATTATTAACGTTCATAGGATCTAGTTTATCACTTTGGGATTGTGTCTAAACATCACCAGACCCAAGGTCACCTAGATTTGCTCCTATGTTATCTTCCAGGAGTTTTATCGTTTTGCATTTTACTCTTAGGTCGATGATCCACTTTGAGCTAGTTTTTTTTTTTATGAAAGATGTAAAGTCTGTGTCTCAATTCATTATTTTGTTTGTGGATGTCCAGTTGTCCCAGCACCACTTTTTTTGAAAAGCCTATCTTTGCTCCACTGTATAGACTTTGCCCCTTTGTCAGAGATTAGTTGACTATATTTATGTGAGTCTGCTTCTGAGCTTTCTATTCTGTTCCACTGATTTATTTGCCAATAACACAGGGCTTGATTACTGTAGCTTCATAGTAAGTCTTGAAGTTGGGTAGTGTCAGTCCTCCAACTTTGTTCTTTTCCTTTAATAATGTGTTGGCTATTCTGGGTCTTTTGTCTCTCTGTATCAGTTTGTCAGTATCCACAAGATAACTAGTTGGGATTTCCATTGGGATTGTGTTAAATCTATAGATCAAGTTGGGATGAACTGATATCTTGACAATACTGAATTTCCTTACCTATAAACATGAACTAGCTCTTTTTAATTCTTTGATCCATCATCATAATTTTGCATTTTTCCTAATATAAATCTTGTACATATTTTGTTAGTTTTATTTTTTATTTTATTTTATTTTATTTTTTAGAGAGAGATATTGAGCAAGTGGGGCAGGGGCAAGGAGGGGCAAAGGGAAAGGGAAAGGGAATCTTAAGCAGGTTCCATGCTCAGAGGGGAGCCCAAATTGGGGCTCGATCTCATGATCCTGAGATCATGACCTGAGCTGAGTTGGATGCCTAATGAACTGAGCCACCCAGGTGCCCCTTGTTAGTTTTATATGTAAGCATTTCTTTTTTGAGGGTGCTAATGAAAATGGTATTATATTTTAAACTTCAAATTCCACTTCTTCATTGCTGGTACATAGGAAATGAAGTTTTGTCTAGTAACTCTGTGTTCTGTGACTTTGCCATAATGGTTTACTAGTCCAGGAGTTTTTAGTTGATTCCTTGAGATTCTCTACATGTCATCTGCCAAAAAGCTTTATTTATTTCTTCCCCATCTGTATAACAGGTATTCCTGCTTTTCTAAACTTTGTATTACGCCACTTCCCTTTTATGAAACATCTTCATTAGTACCTGTTTTTGCTAACTGAAAGAAAACTAAAGAGGAAGACATCCCTGCTTTTGTTCTTGATCTTAGTGGAAAAACTTTAAGTATGATATTAGCTGTAAGCCTTTGTAGATGTTCTTTATCACGTTCAGGAAGCTATTCCTACTTAACTGAGAGCTTTTATTATGAATGGATGTTAGATTTTATCAAATGCTTTTTCTGCATCTATTGATATAATCATGTAATTTTTCTTCTTTAGCTTGTTGATATGATGGATTACATTAATTTATTTTCAAACACTGAGACAGCCTTGCATACCCTGGAAAAATTCCACTTGATCATGATGTATAATTCTGTTTATACATTGTTCCATTCAATTTGCTAATATTTTGTTGAGGATTTTTACATCTGTGTTCCTGAGAAATACTGGTCTGTCATTTCCTTTTCTTGTGATGTCTTTGCCTGGTTTTGGAATTAGGTTAATGCTGGTCTTACAGAATGAGTTAGAAAGTATCCCCTCTGTTTCTATCTTTTGGAAGAGATTGTAGGGAATTGGCAAAATTTCTTCCTTAAATATTTGTTAGAATTTGCCAGTAAACCCATCTGGGTCTGGTGCTTTCTGTTTTGAAGGTTATTAATTATTGGCTCAGGGGAGGGGGATGGGGAGATGAGTTAGCCCTCCTCAGGGGAGGGCACATGGAGCACTGGGTGTTATATGCAAACAATGAATCATGGAACACTACATCAAAAACCAATGACCTACTGTATGGTGACCAACGTAACATAATAAAAAAATTGGCTTGATTTCCTCGATACAGGCCTATTCATATATATATATATATATAAAATCTTCTTTTCTTCAGATAGGTCAGATGAGTTTATGACAGTTAATGCATACAGGCCATGACTCTCCTGGAAATAATAAAGTACTGGTGCTCAGGGACAGCTCAGCTGGCTAAAGACCAGCAACTGGAGCTCATCTCCAGGATTCTGCTCTGAATGTGTGTATGTGTGTGTGTTCTGTTGCCAGGTTCCTAGCATCTAGGAACCTAGGAGGCTTCCTGCATCTCCCCAGCTCATCTCTCTCTCTCTCTCTCTGAGATGGAAGGGAGTCACCCTGAAAAACATCAGTGATGTCTCCCCACCCAGTCAGCCCTGGCAGGAGACCTACATGTGGATCTGGGTGTTTTTCAGGGTGACTCCCAGCTTTCTAGGAGACACAGTCTTGCCTGAGCGTGCTGGTGGTTTTGCATCACCTGCAGGAGACTCTGGGCAGGAAATTCTCCATGGCAGCACGTGAGCCAACAAGACATGGATACTCAAGAACATGACTTCCTAGGGGGCATCAAAGCCTTAGGCTGGCTTCCACCTTAAGTCTTTGCGCCTGCTCTACCTCTGCCTGGAACCCTCTTCCACCAGATGTCTGTGCAGCTTCCCATGCTCAGGAAGTGCCCGGGTCAAATGATGCTTTCCCCTGGAGCCCTGCCCTCTCCCTCCACTTCAGTCTCCTTCTCATATCACTGTCTATTTTCCTCTGGCACATGTCGCATCTACTAGTCACAACTGTGGGCCTGTCTGTCTGTCTCCATCAAATATCAGCTCCATGAGGCAGGCCTTGCTTATCCTTGGAGAACCTTGACCTGGGCCTGACCCAGAATAGGAGCTCACCCCATGTTTGGGTGTGAAGGGATGATTCCTTGCTCCTGATCAGCCTCACCTAGTGCCCCAGCCTGATATGGCCCAGCCCTGTTGGGCCTGGCGTCAGCAGAATGCCCCTGGGTGGGAACTCCTTGATGCCTCCTGCTGGCTGCAGGCTGCTCTGGGTGGAGGTGGGACAAGCCCCATGTGTCTCCACCTACCTGACCTCTTCCCACCCTCCACCCTCCCAGCTCCCCTGCCCAACAGGGCATGACCTCTTCCTAGAGTCAGGCTTCCAGTGGAGCTTTCCAGAAAGTGGAAGCTAGTGCAGGGCCGGAGCCCTGGATGGGCGGATGGGTGGCTGCACAGCTCAGCTCCCAGTGGCTATGGGGTCCCAGGATGACAGCCAGTGATAGAAAGCTCTCCTCCCCCCGACCCAATCAGCCCCAGCAGGAGACCTACATGCGGATCTGGGTGTTTTTCAGGGTGACATTCAGATCATCCAGGGCCTCCTCCATCTCCTGTGTGTTCTGGATGAGCGAGAGGTTCTGCTCTTCCAGCTTCATGAAGATGTCCAGGAGCTGCTGAGGATCTGTGAAGTACAGCTCCAGCTCCTGCAACCAGAGCCATGTGTGCAGGCTGGCTGGGCAGCACAGGGGGACTAGCTTCTGCAGCCCCACCCAGAGCGGGGCCACTGACCTCCCCGTCGCTGCCTGGATCCTCATACATGGTGGAGATAGAGCTTGACCTGCAGAGAGATGTGGGGTCAGGGCACTGCTGCCCAGCCTGGGGGGCAGAGGTCTGGTGGTGGTCTTACTTTACCCCCAAGGGGGAAGCCTCCCCTTCTCCTCCCACCAGCTGACCTGGAGAGGGCACTAGTTTCCCTCTTGGCCCCATACATGTCACACAGCAGTCAGGGGAGGGTTTCAAAATTCAATTAGTTCATGTCATTTCAGTTAGAATAGAACTCAGCCTCCTTCCTGGAGCCTATAGGACCCGTACTGCCCCCTCACCTCCCTCTGCTACCCCTTAAGTTACTCAGCCCCTGTTCCTACCAGCTCTCTTTCTGTTTCTCTGGTTGCTGACCCTACCTCAGGACCTTTGCACCCACAGCTCCCACTGCTAGAGTTGCCTCGCCCCATTTACCATTCTTTTTCTAAGAACAACCTTCAGGGCCTTTTTTGCCCACCTCCCCTATCTAGATTTGCCCTTGGCACTTTCCTTGATGGTCCTACTCAGAGCTCTCCTGTGATACTCGAAGTCACTTCTGCCTGACCCTGAGAACCCCACAGGGGCAGGGACTATCCTGGGTTGACCCTCAGGGTTGCGGGGAAAACTATGAGCTTTGAGCACTCAGCGTGGGGACCTGGGAGGTCCTGCTGGAGGGGACCTAACCTCAACCGACTTCCAAACCTGCTTTCATCACCCCTCCTGGCCTCCTTCTGCCCTTGCCCTGGATGTGCTGGTTCTGGGGGCTGAGAAGCAGGTGGGGCAGGCTCATAGCCAGAGGCATCTGGGCCCCACCCAGAAGAACCCAAGCTGAGGCCTGCCTGACTCCAGGCTCTGACCTACGTGACAGGGAAAGGTGGTAAGTGCAGGACTCTGTGGGATCCCAGAGGGGGAACCCTGAGGACTTCCCAGAGGAAGGGCCACAATAACAACCAAAGCACCCACCAGGCCTGTGGCTCATACTGAACACTTGATGTCTATTTGGCAAATGAAGAACATGCAGCTTAGAGAACTGGCTACCTGCTCAAGGTCACCTGCAGGGCACTGCTGACCCATAAGGTGCCTGAGAGTCTGCCCTCCAGATGGGCATTTTCTGTGGGGTGGGCTGGACTTTAGCCCCCACTTGCCCTCTCTACTGAATGCCTTGTGCAGCCCACAACCTGCCCAACTGTACTCAGTGGCCCTGGTCACATGGCTAAAAGATAGAGGGACCCAGGTAGTGTGATCCTAGACCTCTCTTCTGAGGGACTGCCCCAGCATGGGGCCTTGAGGGTGAGGCTCCTGAGCTGAGGGCAATGCAGGCAGGGGAAGCATGCATAGCTAACCTCTTAGAGCCTCTGTTCAACAAGGAACTGGAAAAGACAATTCCCACTGGCCAGGGTTGCAGGGATCCAAGTTAACCTGAGGCTTGTGCCTGGCCCACCATTGGTGGCTACTCTTCTCCACAAGGCACAACCATGATGCATAACGAGGAAAGTGAGCTCAGAAACTGGTAGCACTCAGGTCCCCTTGCAGCCCAAGAAACATCAGTTTGGGATGTGGGAGGTTGAGTGAGGAGAACATCAAAGGGAGCAGGGTATGCTCACAGGGGCACAGAGATCAGGAGCTGGTGGAGGAGAGAACCATGGGGAAGGGTTGGCAGGCTGTTGTAGAGAAGGAAGGAGAGAGGATGGTGTACTTAAGGGAAGAGCAGAAGATACAGACCTTGCACAGCAGAATGGCGGGGAGGCTCCTGAGCTCCTGGGCCACCCATTCTCTCCAACCCTTGTGCCACCACACTTACCTAAGCTGATAAACTAGAAAGCTTCCAAGAAAACAAAGGAGACTATTTCAGTGGGATTGGCAAAGATTTCTTACATAGGACACAACATTCACCAACCATAAAAGCAAAGATTGGCTAACTGAACTCAAAAGAATAACACTGAGAGACTAATAAGACAAGTCACAGACCGGGCAAATATAGTCATACTACACTTTTACACGAAGGACTGGCATCCAGATATATAAAGAACTAATGGAAAACCAGAAGCGGAAGACCAATAATCCAATAAATATGTACAAAAATTGAACAGACACCTCATAAAGGAGGCTATCTGAGTAGCCATCATATGTGTCATCATGAAAGTGTCATGAAGACCGCAATGAGATACTACCCCCACCCCCATAGGACTCCTGTCTTTTATTCTCCATATTCTGATCTTTTCACCCCTGTGGCTGAGCTGACTCCTGACTGGACAGACTGTCCCTCCCAGGGCTAGCCAATTCCTAGAAAGGGTAAAGGACACACCCTTGAATATGCTTTTCAGGGGCAAACCAACCAATACCGAGCTCTCATAGCTGGGGTCACTATTCCCCTGCCCTGGTGGCCAGATAACTGAGGACACCCCTTGGCCCCAGAGCCCTAAAATTAATCAAGCCCACCAATCCTAAATCCACTTACCCTGCGCACTTGCTCTTTCCTGCAGAAACCACAAGAAAGGCTCCTGCCCATATCTCCCGCACTCCCTCTTCCTCCAGACCCAGCTGGTTGCCTCCCCCTGTGGCCCCAGGCTGTGTGGCGTGCCCCCTCCTCATGAGAACAGAGTAAAAACCACCTTTTCAATGACATCATCTCATGATGTATTGGTCTTACCCACCGACACATTTTCTATTAGGACATGATTTTTGAACAACCCTGCCAGAATACCAAGACAGACGGGAACCTACAATAGCATGATCCCAGGATCTGACCTGATGTGGGGCGGGACGTGGGGGTGCCGGCCGGAGCAGCAAATGTGGAGTCTGTTTGGCAGAAGCTGCTAACGCTCAACGTTGACTCACCTTGTGCCCCAGCAGTCCCACTCTTACTTCCAACCAACATAGTGCTCACGCAAAAGAGAGTGCTTATGCATGGAAGTACAGGAATGTTGGCAGCAGTTTTAAGGAGAAGAGCCAAGAACTGGGAGCAACGCAAAAGGCCACCAGTTGGAGAGAGGACCCAAAGAGTGGGGCTTCTTCATGAGGTGGGACACTAAGCAGCAACTGCCAAGAGCCACCTGCCGCCGCACACAACCGCACAGATGCTCAGTGAAGGGACACCGGCCCCGAGAGCCCACTGCTGCTGTCCTCGGTGCGCCGAGTTTCAGAACAGGGAGAGCGTCCCAGGGCAACAAAGACAAAAAATTGTGAAGGCACCGGTGTGGGGTCTGAATGAGGAGGGCCTGAGGGAGTTCTGGGCTCCGGGAATATTCTATGTCTGGACCTGAGTGTGATTACATGGGTACATATATGTGTAAGAACTCAAGAGTTGTTCAGTTAAGGTTTTTTTTTTTTTTTTTTTTTTTTTTTTTTTTTTGTGATCTGTTGACATAGCATAAGTATGAGAGAAAAAGAATAAAAGACTTAAGTCTGATCACATCACTGGTTTGCTGAAGCTTCCCAGCTCCTGTAGGCTCTGGGCCTGAGGGTGCCAATTACATCTGGCTCCATGTGACCCCATTTTCTCGCCTGTCATGTGGGTGCCCTCCAGGAGGCACTGGAGCTTGGGGGTTGCTGACTGGAGTAGCAAGGAGGCAAGTAGCAGGGAGAGAGGCAGGGGTTGGCTGGGGAAGGGGCAGGGGGGCTGGGGCAGGAGGTCTGTCTTGTGGTCACTGGTCATGGCTGGAGAACACTGGTGGGCATATGTGTGTGGGGGGTCAGGCACTGCAGGAAGAAATCCAGGATGTGTAAGAGGTGCTTGGTGGTCCCAGAGATGGTGCTGGAGAGGCTAAGGGGCAAGAGTCACTGGAGTTGGAACCTGATCCCAGGAGGAGGCAGGACCTTTGGCTAGAGCATCCAGGATGACTAAGAGAACTGTCAGACACTGGAATGACTATGCACAACCAGTAGACCTACCCCTGTGCCCTGGGACGGTGGATTTTGTGTCAACTTGCCTAGGTTCAACATTATTCTAGATGTTTCTGTGAAGATGTTTGTTAGATGAGATGAACAAATAAGTAGATTTTGAGTAAAGTAAATGACCCTTCGTGGTGTGGGTGGGCCTCGTCCAATCAGTTGAAGGTCTGAAGAAACAAAGACTGACCTCCCACAAAGAAGAGGGAATTCTGCCAGCCTACTGCCTTCAGATCATGCTGCAGCAACAGCTCTTCTTCCCTGGGTTTCCACCTGCCAGCCACCTGCTTTGGCTCTCCAGTCTTTTTTTTTTTTTAATATTTTATTTATTTGACAGAGAGAAATCACAACTAGGCAGAGAGGCAGGCAGAGAGAGAGGAGGAAGCAGGCTCCCTGCAGAGCAGAGAGCCCGATGCGGGGCTTGATCCCAGGACCCTGGGATCATGACCTGAGCTGAAGGCAGAGGCCCCAACCCACCGAGCCACCCAGGCGCCCCTTGGCTCTCCAGTCTTGCCAGGCTGGCCCGAGGGGATGGTCCAGATTGCATAGGACAGGTGAGACCCTGGCAGTGGCCCCTGGCCCTGTAAAGGCGAGCACCTGGTAGCCATCCCTCCCCATAATCACATATTAATATCGCTCCAGTAGCGCCAAGAGGCCAGGGCTAGACAGACGAGGGAAGCTGAGAAAGGACTACCTCCAGCGCTCCCCGGCTGTGTCACTTATGGACAGATAGCAAGATACACAGGGTCAGCTCTCCAGTAAAAGGAAGGACGGGCGTAAGAAAATAACCTTTGCTTGTATTTACGTTGAATCAGGAGGACATGCCGGTATTCATTTGAGCTACTGAACAGCAACTTCTTATGGTTCAATGTACTGTTAACATTAAAAGGCTGGAGAGGTGTGCCTGGGTGGCTCCATGGGTTGAGTGTCGGACTTGTGATTTCCGCTCAGGTCATGGTCTCAGGCTCAGTGGGGAGTCTGCTTAGGATTCTCTCTCTCCCTCTCCCTCTGTCCCCCTCCCCGCCCCATTCATGCGCACGTGCTCTCTCTGTCAAATAAATAAATACATCTTAAAAAAACCAAATGGCTGGTAGGATATCCTGTAGATAACCAGTCTCGCTGCAGTGCCATCTGTGGCTTCTTGGCCCAACAGTCTGAGTGGGGAGGGGGCTGGAAGGAGGTGTGCCAAGCCTGGGGCTGGGGGCAGGAGGCTAAGACTTCTCAGCTTATACCTTTCTATACGATTGTGATTTTTCTGAATGTATCACTTAGCAAACTCCTAAAACTAAACAAGTTTTCAGTGAGGGAGGAAGAGTAACTGGGGGGTGACCCAGCAGCAGGGGGAGGTGGGGGGGGTGTATGGCTCTGGCCTTAGAGGCAGAGAGGTTTTTAAGTGGGGTAGGGATAGGTCTGCATTGACTCGCAGATGTGTTTGAGGCTTCTGTTTGTCCAAAGTAAGTGTCACACTTAAATCTGGGTAATTTTAGTAAAAATCCAGACTCTGGCTTTTCGTGAAAGGCTCCGGAGCTCTGACCTCCTTGGCCAGCACTCCCTGGCCACCGAAGGCTGGCAGGGGGCATATGTCTTCCCGTTCACTGTGCCCAATTTGGCTGCCTGCACCGTTTATACCTGACTGTCCCATTAACACCTGAGTGGGCCACCTCAGGCATAAGTTGATCGAACCGGACAGAAATAAAACTTTTCAGAAAACATTTTGATTTTGGTGCTTAAGTCTGACTACACAGCTTCTGTGTTGGGAACAGCCCTTCCTCATGGTCTCGCCCTTCTCAGAGAGACTGGGCTCATCCTGGGCACCCCTAGCCCAGAGCCACTGCAGAGCACTCCCCACCGGGCCCCAGCCACTTCCGTGCCCTACCCGAGGCCCACTCACCCTTTGGGGTCCAGCTCACTGTTCAGGCTGGGCTGTCTGCTGTACTGGAGGCTCATGGAGCTGGATAGAAGCCGCCTCAGCCGGGTCACCGGCAGGGACTTCGAGGGTTTCTTTGGGCCCTGCCCATCTGGAGGAAGCAGAGGAATGGTTTCCACATACCCCAGTCCAGGGCAGGATTCTTCCAGCTTGGGGCAGCCACATACCTCTAGAGCTTGTTTTGCCCTTGTTCCCTGGTCCTACAGGAAGCAAGGGAGGGTTCCAGATGGCTTCGGCTGGAGCCAGAATTTCAGCAACACTGCTTGAGGGCACAGGGCTCCCCAGGATCCTCCCAGCTCTCTTCCCCTCAGTTTCAGAAAGATATGCATGGGAGGAACGTGGCTGGGGTCTGAGTTAGAGCAGGCTCTATCTTACTCGAATGGATGTGTGAGCTGAGCCACCAGGCCCCAAGGGGCACTTACTGACTCTGGCTGGGGCTTTGTGAAGCATGGAAGGAGCCCAGCCTATGGGTCTCCATGCCCTAGATGGGCCCAGGGACTGGCTGTCTCTTTTCTGCTACCTTTGTCCCCTCCTGTGGAGAATGAAATGTTCTCTTTGGGGGGCTCGGGGGCCTCCTTGGTCTTTTTGAGATCCTGGTGCTTCTTCTCCTTTTCTTCCAACCACTCCTTGGGCGACAGCTTGTATAGGAAGTCCTTGTAGATCTTGTAATGCTGCAAAGTGTCTTCAAATTTGGAGATTTCACTAGACCCGGGAAAGGGTGGTGAGGTCAGGCTCTGCCTGCTGGGACACCCCTCCAGAGGGGACTGGCCCTGAAGCCTGGCCATGCCTGGCCAAGCCTGGCATGCTCCTTGTTCTCCTGGGGACAGGCATGGCAGCACTGCTGTACTGGGGACCAATGGGGCTCAGACCTCCACAATGACAGTGGTCTGTGACTTTGGAGTGGCCGTGGACCCTGGCGACCCTGTGTGCCAAGTGAGCCCTGCCTCCTAGTGAGGCTTTGGGAAAGTCACTGAATCTTTTCTTGGCCTCTGTCACCTCATCCGTAAAATGGGCAGCTGCATCAGGCAGGCTTTGAGTCCCTAACTTATGAGTCCCTAAGCTATTTAGTAAGTCTGGGAGGTGAAGTCATGAGGTCTGTGCTGCACGGGGGCTCCTTTTGGCCCTGGGAGGGGCGGAGGGAAAAGCAGCAGACCAGGATGGGCAGGCTCTCTCCTTTAGCTCACCTTTTGATGTTCATGATCTGGGTGGTCAGTTCACGGATCTCAATGATCTTCTCCACTTTTGCTTTGGTCTCCTTTTCAGCCCTGGGGGTGGGGATGGGGGTGGGGGCAGGGAGCCAACCGCAGACAGTTAAAGGGGGCGTGTACACTGCCTTGGGGGAGTGGGGGTGGGGTGAGGAGCCTCCTGGGGCCCCTTGGGCGGCTGGGCGGATGCAGGCAGGTTGGGCGCAGGTGCAGAGTTCCAGGGGACACGGGGTTGGGGCGCGCGGGCTGCCCCTCCGCGGGGGGCTCACGCTCTCAGGGCCTGAACGGAGCTGCGGTCGTTCTCCCGGAGAAACTCGTCGAACAAGGCTGCGTCCTTCTCCAGGGACTTCTCTGCCTGCTCCAGCTCTGCCTCCTCCTTGGCCGCCAGCATCTCCAGCCGCTGGATCTCCTTCCGCTTCATGTCCAGGGCGTACTGAGGGGCACCAGAGCGGGAGTCAGGCTCCTGGTTGGGAGAGCCCCCTCCCTGGGCCCCCTGCGCATTGTAGGTGGGCCAACCTGGATGAGGAATATCTGCCGCTTCTGGTTAATGTAGATGTTCATGTTATCAGATTCCATCTTCCTTTCTGCAAAGATAGGAGGAAAGCCTCTGGGGGCGGGGTGGGCAGTGCGAGAGAGACCCGAGCTGGGCCAATCCCATCTGCTGTGCTAGGAGGCCCAGGTTATTACAGGGACTCTGGGACATTGAGCCCTGCCTCTAGCAAAAGGAAAGAAGGCTCTGTTTATGAATTGCACTCTGCATGGCTGGAGACTGGGCCAGGTGGGGTGTCCTTTCCTATGCTGACTCCAGCCTCTCTTGGTGTAGTACTCTTCTCACCTGGAGTAAGACTCTGGACACCCCCCGCCATGGACATTTCATCCAACAGGATCTAATAACAAAAGTCCTATTAGGTCAGGACCTGCATCGGGGTGGTGAGAGAAAAATGGGGCACGATGATCTCTTTTTGGGGAACTCTAAGCCCCCAGGATCCAATTTCAGTAGATGCTAAGTCAGCACACCAGGGTTTCAGCCAGGTGGGAGGAAATTAAGGTGGGTATCTGGAACACCTTCCGGAGGGCAACCAGAGAGGTAATGTAGCTGGAGCTAAGGGCCATGGGAGCCTCCTTCTCTCGTCTTTCTGGAAAGAAAGGCCTAGAAGTGCCCTTACTTTGGAGAGGCCAGGAACTGAGGAAAGAGCCATGGAACCATGTGGCTCTCTGCATTATCTCTTAAACCCTCTCCTTTCTGGAAGATGCTGTGGTGTGGGAGTCTTAAGTCTAGAAGCCTGGCAGAGACCCAGCTTGGCCTCTATCTCCCTGGCCCACCTTGTGGGAAGACCCTTTCCCTCAAGGAGACCCAGCTCCCCACTGCAAGTCAAATATGGGATAAGGACAAGTCTTGTGCCTAAACATGCTGAGTCCAGTCTTCCCCATCCAGACACAGCCTGCCTCTCCCAGATCTTAGGAACAGAGGGTGGAGACAGAAATGAAAACCTTGCAGTGCTGCTGTTCCTGCTCACACAGAGCTGGGCACGAAAGTGTCAGAGTGAGCTCGGGGCTCTCCACCCCAAAATAAGCCATGGGGCCAGGCGTGGAGGCTGGGTGTCTTTTTAATTAATATTCCCATTCAGTACACCTGCAGTCCAGCTGGGTTCCAGGATTTTATTGTCTGGGCTGGTAGAATATTAATGCATATTCTGCACTCAAGATTTCCTACTGGGTCAGAAAACTAATAAGAGCTCACACACACACACACACGCACATACAGTTCCTTCTAATTATATGTAGCATCTAAAGACGTTGGATCATACAACCCGCAAGGTCGGCAGTGTCACTGGCCAGGAGAGGAAACTGCTGTGCAAAGGAGTTGAAGAGCCCACCCAGGATAGCGAGGTCATTCAATGCTGAAACTGAGATCTGAACTCAGGGAACTTCATGCCACACAGACTCTCTTTACCATCAAGTTAAGGGACTGTTTATATGTGTGCAATCTGCATTCATGTGCACGGTAACGTTCCAAATGCAGGCAATATTGGGATTCAAAGGCTTTTAAATTTGCAGTCCATCTGGAACTGATGTGTGTGGCAGTGGGAGGCAGGGTCAGACATGAAGACCCCCACATTCCCCATTGCACCACAGCCCCGCCTCTTCAAACACTTTAAAAGCATGAAGGGCAAGACCTGACTCCAGAAAAAGGGGGCACCTTTGGTCATGCAGAGCTTCCAAGCCGTGTGGTCGTGGAAGGCACGCAGCCGCTCTGCCTCGGCGCGCGTCTCCTGGTCTTGCATCTCGTCCTCCAGCTGCAGCTCCCGACGAAGGCTGGTGTGCTTGGCCAACACTTTGGACGAGTATGTCATCTTCTCGTGCACCTGCAGGGTCGTCTTCTGCTCCCGCTCCTGGCAGGTGGGGCCAGGTGAAGTTGGGCGGGGCCAGCATCTATTTCTACCCCCTCCCCCACCAAGCCTAGGACAAGCCTCCTCCCCTCAGCATGTTGCCCGGGCCCCCAAGGTCCGAGAGAGGGGTCCTGCATGTGCTGTCGCTGCACAGGAAGGCTGTGGAGCTGTGTGTGCCTGTGGAAGCGCCTGGGATGCCTTGAACACAGCTCTCGGGTTGAGAGGAAAGTGAGCAGGGAGCATTTTCAGAGAGCGGGGTGAAGATGGGGTCCCCGGGGGAAGTACAGTTTGCCCAGTTAGATGGCATTCAGTAGTGCAGGGACATACTCACTACCAGATGATTCCTCTTTCATCTGAAATTCACACTTACTGTGATCTGCTAAATCTGACCCTCCAAGGTTCAGGGAAACTAGATCTGAGCTTCCAAAAGAAACTCAAGATCCCTGGGGTCTGGAGTGGGGCTGGAAAATGTGCATTTCCTGATGTATCTTTGGTCACTGGTTGGGTCTCAGTGGGAGCCACTTGTCCAAGGAATCTCAGATACTGAACCCTGAGTTGGGGCAGACAGAGTCAGCCCAGGAGGGAGCCTGGAACACTGGCCATGCCCATGCCCCTGAGAGTGTGTCCCAGAAACATGGCCCATGCTGACCACTTCTCAGTGGAGATGCCCCAGGTGAGTCCTCCCCGAGACTGGCTGCAGGGCTGCTTGCATGCCGCAGGGGGTGAGAATGGACAAGGGGCTCTTGGATGGGGAGGCAAGACAGACTATGCTGGGGTACAGACAAGGCAGGGGCTGGGGGTTGGGGCCGGCTCCAGGACTCCCAGGTACTGTTAAGGGCATGAGTATCTGTGTGTGTGCGCCTGTGTGCTTGTTTGTGTGTGTATCTGGCTTCCAAGAATTCCAGAGAGGGGGATTGTGCAAGGCTGGAGCAGTTGGGAGGGTGGTGGTCTCCTGGGGGAGGTGTGAGGGTCCTTGAGGTCTGAGATAAGTCTTGCAGGACAGGGAGAGTCTTGGGAGCCAATGACCTCTGGTGCAAGGGAAGCAGAAGTAAAGCCTCATGGTTGAGGCTACGCCCCAGCAGCCTCTAACAGCCCACCTGGTCAAGGCCCAGGAACAGTAGTGATAAAACCATGTGAGAACAGTGGGACAGGTCAGAGACTGGAGAGCTAGTCAGGCTTTTGAAATGATTTTTTTAAAATGGTGAGCCACTGGGGTGCCTGGGCATCTCAGTCGGTTAAGCATCCAACTCTTGATCTCAGCTCAGGTCATGATCTCAGGGTCATCAGGCTTTGCGCTCAACTTGGGGTCTGCTGGAGATTCTCTCCTTCTCCATCTGCCCCCCTGACTTGTGCTTTCTCGAAATAAATAAACAAAATAAAGCATTCCTCTGAGAAGGGCAATCAGTCCTAGATACTCACTGCGCGAGACTTATTCCGCTCCTGTTCTCTAAGCAAGAAGAAATCCACATCTCCAGACATGTGGAAAGGATTTGCGGAACGGTCAGGAGCAATTGTGGACACTGGGGAGAGAGATGCTTCATTGGAGAGATGAGCTGGCTCTTCCAAATGGTGGCCTGTGTCTCGGGAGTCCTGGCGTCCGTCCAGCCCAGCATGAGGAACTTGAAAGCACAAGCTAGTGTCAAATGTTCTCTTGGATCTGGCAGTGCCTGAAGTCCAACCCTGGACCTTCCAACTCCATAAACCCACCTGTCTGGTTTAACCTAGTTGGACATGGACATCTGAAAGAGACCTGGTGAACCCAGCACAATCTGTGTCTCAGACGTCTGGCCCCTCTAAATTAAAGTCTCAGGAACCCCCATTCCATAGAGAGAAGCAAGAGGCAGGAATTGATGGGGCCAGCTGGCAGGAGGTTGGCCAGCTCCAAAACAGAGGCACCTGTCTGCAGAGTGGCAGTGGGACACCAGGTGAACATACCCTGTCTGCAGGGTTCTCCAGGAGCTTCCCAGGGGAAGGCTGTTTGTGGGCGAGTGAGGCAAAGCACCTGAGGCCTAAGGGGTGGAGGGCAAGGCAGGAATTTGGGAGATGGGGGCTGCCAAGGACCCCAGCTCTGCTGCTCTCCTACTCCTGTGGGTGAGGGAGAGGTTCCTGCTGCTCAGCTCAGCAGGGACAGAACCCAAGAGGCACCAAACTAAGGGCTTCAAAATATGGATGCTTTCTCCCCTTATCCTCGATTTAGAGGAAAAAGGGTTCCTTGTAAGACCAAACAAAACAAAACAAAAAATTCTTAGAAGTAAAAGAGTATGAGAACAAAATAACTCCTCCACTTTGAAAAAACTGTGGGTGACATTCTGGGGGTATTGCTTCTAGTAATTTCTAACACCTATTTTTAATAATTTCACATCTTAAAAAAAAAAAACACTTCACCTTCAGCAAATGCCTGGGAAATTACTAATTCAGTGAGAGCCCTGTATGCAATTACAAAGGGGTACAGTAAGGCAGGACTTCACCAGGGCATGTCGGGGGACCAAGAGTGGCAGCCACATGCTGCCTCGGGCACTGGTGTGCCACCACAGGCTGGCTCTTGGCAACTGACTTTCTGAAGGGGGAACAGGGGCCAGGGGCTGTAAGCATTTCCAAGTTTCAGAGCCTCATGCCGACCTGCCTTTCTGGAGGTTTGTCCCATTTTATACTGTCACCAGCAAGAAGAGACTGTGAAGGGGATTTGAAGTTATGCTCTGAGGGTCTCAAAATACCTCCGCACGAGAGCCGAACTTATGAATGAGTGAAAGTGGAGAAGCTGGCCGACTCCATCCTGCTCAGGCCATCCGAGTGGACCAGAGCAGAAGCGAGAGGCGCGGTCTTCTCTGGCCAGTGCGACCCCAGCAGTCACTTAGACGGCTCCCCCAGGGTCTTCGCCTGCACCCGTCGTATGGAGGGGGCAGAAAAGCTCCAAGTCCGCAACATCTTTGTACTATTCTTTCAAATTTTCTCTAAGAATGAAATCCTGTCAAAATAGTTTACAAATCTGAGTGAGAGGAGTAAAGAAAGATGACCAGCTCCTAGGCCCCGCTGAGGGGACGAAGCCCGCAGCAGCCTCTGGTAGGTCTTAGCCTGGCTTCTGGAGACGGGAGAATGCAGGAGGGGGCGGCCCAAGACAGGGAGAGGTTACAGGGGAGGTGCCGGCCCCAGGGCCATCAGGGACCTGCAGAGAGGAGGGACAGAAGTGGGATGGGCTTGTGCGGGTTTGGAGCGTGGACACTTGTCCCACACCTGATCACGACTTTCTTTTACACACGGATTTTGTGGCTGCTAGAGAAGCTCTGGGAGAGACTTCAGGGCCTTTCTGTCCGAATCGGGAGGCTGGGGAGGCAGGTGTGGATGGTGCACCGGGCACATGGCTTGCCTCCCCTACCAAGCCAACCCCAGTCCCCAGAAATGATGTAACACACATTCAGAGAATGCACATAGCTCTGCACAAGAAGGGATGACTCTGGGTGGGGGGGCAGTGGGTGGGAGTTGCCAGGGAGGGTTGGAAGAGGGAATGTGGCGGGGATGGGGTAAAGTGGGGGTGTATGGTCCAAGTAGGCCGGCCTGGAGGGGAGGAAGGTATCAGGGAAGTGACAGCTCTGAGTGCAGCAATGGGGGCACGAGGGACCTGGACAGAACCGCCGCAGCTCGCCCCTCCGCATGTCCCATCCCATTCTCTCTCACTCCCTGTGCTCCTCCAGCAACCCCAGGCAGGGGTCCTAAATTCAGAATAGTGAGGACTAAGCACGGACGACAGAGGCAGGGAAAAGTTAGAGTCTTGCCGTACCCAGATTGTGAGGCAGTTGCATGCATGGGCTGCACGTCCCACAGCCCCATGAAGTCATTAATTATGCTAGTTAGCCAGCACGGAGCACTTAACCATGGCCAGACTTCACCTGACTGAATGTTCGTAACAACCCTGAGGTGGGAAATATCGTTACTCCTGGTGAGGAGGAACAGAGGGACAGAGAGGTAAAGGTGAGCTGCTCAACCTGTAGTAGCACCGTGGAGACTGGCTTCTGAAAACAGGAACTGCTTGTGCAGTCTGGTGAGTGGGAAATGTTTCCAAGTGGAAATATGTTAATGGGAAGATGAGCCTACAACACAGACTGGCAGTCATTTGAAGCAGATCATTCCACAAATGCCAAGTTGGTTTCACATTTAGTGTCACATAATACACCCCATTATGGTTTTTTCCATATGGTTTCACAGAATACACCCCATTATCAGAATGAGGGAGAAAATGATATGATCTTTTCAAGGGATGCAGTGAAAGTGTTTGATACAATTCTAAACTGATTTTAAATCATAGTCATAGCAACCTAGGAAGAGGAAGAAACTTCCCAATCTGATAAGGGAAAGCATGGTGAGCTCAGTAATGGCCCCCAGAGATGTCCACGCCCTAAATCCCAAACCTGTGATTAGATTCCTTTATATGGTAAAGGGGATTTTGCAGATGGGATGAAGGACTTCGAGACGGGAGATGGTCCTGGATTAGACAGAGGGGCCTGATGTAATCACAAGGGTCCTACTAAGATGGAGGCAGGAGGGCCAGAAGCAGGAGGAGTAGGTGTGACGACAGAAGCGGAGGTTGGAGTGACGTCACGGAAACTGGGCAGGTTGTGCTGCTAGCTTGGAGCCAGAGAGGGGCTGGGAGCCAAGGACGCGTGAGCCTCTAAGCTGGAAACTGCAAGGAAGCAGATTCTCCCCTGGAGCTTCTGGAAGGAGTTCTGTAAGATTAATTCCAGACTTTTGAATTCAGAATTGTAAGATAACATATTTGTGTTGCTTTAAGCCACCGAGTTTGTGGTGCAACAGCCACACGAAATGAATACAGGTATCTACAAGAAAGTTCCAGGGGGAAATATTGCATATTTCCCTTCCAGGATCAGGAACAAGGCATGGATACCCATCTTTGCACTTCTAATCAACACTGTAGTTAGGCAAGAAAAAGATATAAAAAGCATAGTATTGGAAAGGAAGGGCAAATAATGTCACCTCAAGGTGATGTGAGTGTCGAGGAGAAAATCTGAAGAATCTACCAACAAAATGGTTACAATTAGATTAGAGATGATTTGTAGGCCTGATTGCAAAGTGAACACAAAACTTGTATAAGATACAGTAGCTTCATGACCTCGGGGGTGGGGTCAGCAAAGAGCTTTGAAACCGGACACAAAAAGTACCAACCATACAAAAATGACTGGTAAGGGCGCCTGGGTGGCTCAGTGGGTTAAAACCTCTGCCTTTGGCTCAGGTCATGATCCCAGGTCCTGGGATTAAGCCCCGAATCGGGTTCTCTGCTCAGCAGGGAGCCTGCTTCCCCCTCTCTCTCTGCCTGCCTCTCTGCCTACTTGTGATCTCTGTCTGACTTGTGATCTCTGTCTGTAAAATAAATAAATAAAATCTTAAAAAAAAATGACTGGTAAAGTGAACTCCATGAAAATTAGGAACGTTTGTTTATTAAGAGGCAACACCAAGAAAGGAAAAAGCAAACTACTAAGCAAGGGAAGGTATTTGCATACTTAGAACTGGTGAATGATTTGTTTCCAGAATATGTAAAGAGCTTCTAGAAATCATTGAAGTAAAAGGACAACCCAGTAGAAAAATGAGCAGAGGCAGGGAGGCACTTTATAACACAGAGTCATCAGTGAACATATGGAGAGGTGATCACCCTCATTGGTCACAGGGAATACGAGATGCTAATACTTATCTAAAGGGCCAGATAATAGTAAAAGCATAGAGGTGCGGGGCATCTGGAATGCTCATACCTGTTGGTGGGGCTGTAAACTGGTATAGTTGTTCTGGAAAACTGCACAGTGGTATCTACTAAGGTTAAACATACTACCAGCAATTCCATCCCTTCATATACACCCAGGAGAAAGGAGTACTTCTTTCCCTAAGTGGCATGTGCAAGAATGTTCATTGCAGTATTATTTGTAATATCGAAGATCCAGAAACAACCCAAATGTCCAGCCACTCCAGAGAGAATAATACACTGTTGACATATGCACACAATAGGATACACACGGCGACAACAAAGAAGGGAGTCCTGTGACTGGCATTCCACAGATGTGATGCTGAGTGAACAGGGTCAGGACCGCAAGAGCACAGAATGTGACCCCATTTATACAAGGTTCGAGAATGGATAAAGTGATTTTCTGGTGATAACAGAACAGTGCTGTCTCTTGGGCAAAGGGAATGTCTGGGCAGATGGAAAGGTTCTAGACCATGGGGTAGAAGTTACAAAATTGTATACGTTTATTGAAACTTATCAAACTGTATACCTAAGATTTGTGCATTTCACCTTAAATGAATTATACCTTAGCAAAGAAGCCAAACCAAACCCAAACCCAGACTGCTCACCCTTACTATAGTGATCAATTTAGGCATCCACAAGCAGAAGAAGCTGTTGGGTGAATGTCTGATGGGAATCTGACTGAGGGCCAGGCAGTCACCACCTGAACCCACTGAGCATGGACTTCTTGTGAAAGGAGGTAGGAAGGATTCTGGTAGT